GGGTCAGAGGTCTGCTCCTCCTCACCGGAGCCCACATTTAGAAAGACAGCGTTCGTGTCTTTACACAGAAGAAGGAAATAAAACTTCTCTCTCCAGTCACCACATCCATTAAAACCTTGTTTAAATACTTTGACGGCTGGACTGTGGCTGACATCAGGCATCCAGGTTCCCGTATAACTGTATATGTTTCAGCTTCCAGAAGAATCTGTGTAATTACACAATCCATTTTTCAAACAATATTTGCAACCTGGAAACTGGTGATAAGTTTACCAACCTTCAGAAGAAGGTATGTTATTTTTTTAGCACAGTAATTGAATAAAAAACAAGATTAGTCAATCGGCTCAGTTGGAAACAAACCAACAGTTTCTCCAGATGATCTAAACCACTTTATTTGGAAGTGATCCCACCTGAATCGTCTGTAATAATCCCTCATGGCACAGGAAAATATAAGTACCGTAAATCATAGCTGGATGTTTACAACAGAGAGCTTGGTTGGTAATTGTCACCATTCATCTTCCAAATAAGTTTGGTTAACCTCAAAAACCGACTCATCTACAGCTCGAAGAGTTGTTGTCATCATTTCCCCGGCCTCCTTGCCAGTTTCCCAGCGGCCCCTGAACGCCGCACAGACCGGGACTAAAGAACTCTTTGTGTTTTTAACTTTCCTCTTTCTGTCTCGTCTGCCATCATCTGAAGCCCTGGACCCTCCCCACAGGAATCTGAGCTGCTGGCTCCACACGTGTCTCTGGGAATCCGTTTGGAAAGAAACACCAAACCATCGCTCTGGTAATTACCTGATTACCCAGCACCCACCTGACAGCCGGAGGAGCCGGCTGGAAGGTGAGACTTCCTGTCAGTTAAGTCATGGAATGAAATGAAAGTGGCGTTAGCTTTGCTGCGCCTCAAAAGGAACAGGTGGAAAACTGAAAGGTCACAGTTTGGAGATGATTTAGCTGCCGATGGCGCAATAAACATGTTAAAGAAACAGATGGATATTAGTTTCATCTACAGTATCTCCCAAAAGTGAGTCCACCCCTCACATTTTTGTAAATATCTGGTTATATCTTTTCATGTGACAACACTAAAGAAATGAAACTTTACTATAATGTAAAGTAGTGAGTGTGCAGCTTGTATAACTAAAGAGGTAAATTTGCTGTCCCCTCAAAATAACACACATCACACAGCCATTAATGTCTAAACCGCTGGCAACAAAAGTGAGTTACTGTATGTGCGTGTATGTTCAGCTTAGGTTAGCACAAAGATTGGAAGTAGGGTCTGTTTATTATTTATTCATGAGCTAACAACGAGCTAAAAACCTAAAATGAAAACAGTCATTGGACTATGTGTGTGCAGTCGGTATGATGAAGTACAGAATATAAATCATGTTGTAGTTGCACTCTAATGGACATTTCAGTCTGCAGTCTGGTACTGAACTTTGTGTAGCTAAAATGTTTTACCAGCATAAAGACTGGAAGCATGTTGGAGAACTGCTAGCGAGTTTAAAACTTAATGTTATACATTTTAATGTTATGGCAACTACAAACACTTTGTAGCCAGATAATATTGTTAACATTTCCTTCATTGTGGTACTTATATTTAGCTAACCAGTGTAATAGCAGAACATGTTTAGCCTAGCTTAGCATGAAGGAACTGCGGTAAAATGCTAGCCAGTGTAGCAATAAAACAGCTAGCCTAATCAACATGTGTTTAGTTAGTATATAAAACTGATGACTGTTTGTCACTAGGTAATATTATTGTAGCTAAATATAGCTAACATATTCAACGTTATTTGTAGCAACACAGTAGTATACCAGGAGGTGTTTAGCCTAGCGTAGCATAATCTGGAAGCAGAGGGAAATGGCAAAAATCCTGTCTGATATACATATTTTTATTATTTTAGCTAACAACCTATCCTTTTCATCTGAGGATCTGGTTTTGTTGCCACTAAAACCACAATTAATTATTTTTCTTTTCAATACACAAGATACAACATGTAATCAGACAGTTTTAGAGTTGTTCCAAAAAAAAAAGGAAAAAGGACTTCAAACTGCCAAATGGAGTCCAGATGAAGCAAATCAGTCAGGGGTCATTAAAAGGATCAATTTAATGGGTCTTTTCACATTAATAACTCTGTAAACTGCACAAACGGCACTAAAAATCTCTTAATTATTGTTGTCTCCATATTTCAAACAATGAGAAATCCCCTAAAACCCCCCTCTTACATTTATTATGTATAATTAATCCTGATTTAATGGAAAAATTAAGGAGATTTATGCCGCAAGGTAATGTGCTCTTGTATATATTTATTGTTGAGCGTAAAACAAGGTTTCTGTGCTTGTTTTTATCTTTTCTGTCTTCGCCGTGCTGCACAGGCCTGAGGGCAGACAAAGGCAGCTTTGTAACATTTTTCAGAGTGATGGAGGTTATATAAGCGTTGCTGGGTTTTCTCCTCCTGGCCTCAGCGTTCATCACCGTGATGCTGTGCAGGTGGCCCGTGGGCTCTGGCACGCCGGATAAACGGCGGCGCTCTGGCAAGGAAAGACGTCTGATTGGTTTAAGAGCTCCCTGTTCCTGGGAACATCTGGGCCTATCAGCTGAGGACGGAGATACAGACTCGGGCGTTTACAGTCTTTTATGCAAACATTTGAAATAATTTTCTCTTTACAGTGAGTAAAATGTTCAGCCTAATCAATAATGTTTTCACTGTTCCATCAGAGAGAAATATTCTCGCTTTACACAGCTGAAACTCACATTCTGCCTGAATCACTGTGGATTCACTGATCTCGATTTAGAAACTGTTTTTACAGTGAACACTCCGCAGCTCAGATCACTTAAAGGAAATCTGATGATTTCAAGGTGCGGTGACTCTACAAAAATATTTTACATCAGAAACTTTGAAATTCAATCTCTTGGCCAAATGAGATGAAAATCAAACAAAAAGAATAGATTAGATTAGAATAGATTTTTGTGAGTGGACATATAAACAGGATTTCAACCTGTTGTGCAGCGAAGTCCAATGTTGGGACAGGTTTTACACCAGTATGGGCGACAAGCCAGATGGGAACTTGAGCATCTACAACAGCTGGGCAAACTCTGTGTGCAGGAGGAGTGTGAGCCTGCAGCCAGTCAGACTCACTGAGTTATGACCTTTTAAATATATCATGCTGCTGTATCGCCTTCTCCTGTCCAATGAGGGAGCTTTTTTTGCCGTTGTGGCAGTTTGTATCAAGAAGCTGACGCTAAACTTCATCCAGCGTCAGGTTTTTTCGGGCTTCTTCCACTATGTGCATGTTATGTTATTTATGTTGGTGAATTTACTTAAAATTCTCCTCTTTTTAGATATTTATGTTCCAGTTGAGCATCTATTTCTAAGCATATTACCTTTGTGATTTAAATTGTATTGTTTATTGTGTTTCTCTCTTTGCTGAATCAGAAATAAGTTCTTTAGTCTGAATCTGAGACAAAGAGTGAGTCTTTTATTGTGAAGGCCTGTGTGTTTTATTGTGAAGGGCGGCAGTAAAGGTCATGAGTCGGAGTGAAGAGCTGGCAGCCTTCGGCCTGCAGAGACGCTGGAAACAAACTGCTGCTGGCGCTCAAATAAAGCTGCATTGTTTCAGCGTGTTCTCGCTGAAGGAGGAAAAATGCTGCTGGAGGTGTGAACGTTTGTGCTTTTTATCCCGCTGGGCCGCTGAAAGTAGTAATCACCTCTCTGACTTCTCTGCCTGTTTTAGCTTCCTGTGAACCAGTGAAGTGACCTGACAGAGTCTCCATGTTCGGGGCTGAATTTCCATGACTGGAAATTGTTGATCTGTTGTGAGCAGTGTCAGACAAGTTACTTCCAAAAAAGAGTAATTAGTTATTTTACAATATTACTGTCTCTGAATTGTAATGCTTTACACAACGTTTGCGTAACTTTTAAGTTCCTTTCACTGCAGTTTAGTGGGCGCATTATTCAGATAGTGAGATGTGCTTCACAGGGGGTTCTGCTGATGTGCAGATTGCAGTTAGTAGCAGGGGGGTTGTGGATGGGTGAAATGAATCTGCTGGGCAAACTCTGCAGGATGAAGAGACGGCAGCCTCTCTGATCAGGAAATCATTAAAGAAAAAACACATATATATTTATTTACACATGATTCATGATCGTCAGTATCTTAGAGAACCTCCAGAATTTCACAGATCCTGTTTTCAGAGAAGCTCCCGTCTTAAGTGTAATTTATACTTCTGTGTCGAATCGCCTGACGTGCACCTCTTCAAAAATGTAACTACATGTCGAGTATAAATAAACCTTGTACGCACGTAGACCTGACGCAGGAGTATAAATCAGCTTTACTAAGAGGAGCCCGGCTCCCCCTGTAGTTTGCACCCTGCCTACGACCATCGAATTCCAGCAGCAGGAAATCTCCTTACTCTTTTACTTACAGAATTTGTTTTCTGGTGCAGACACTTTGCAGTGGTGGTCAATTATTAAAAAACAACAACACAACTTAATTTCGGGTAAAAATGTGCATTACTGAGATTGTAATGGGTGTAATATTACCAAAATGTTATTAGTAATGCGTTATATTACTACTTTGTAAAGCATTACTACCAACACTGGTTATGAGTTTATTGAACTGTTGTTTTTGCATATTGGGTACAGTTTTTCATCTGATGTCTGAGTTACTCAAAAGGTTCAGATCATCGTGGCAGTAATTAGCTTCCATTATAAACAGTTCACGTCTACGTCTGCACATCGGCTCAGAAAACAGAAGAGTAATTATTTCTCTGCCAGAGGTCACACCACCATTCATAGGAGGATCTCTGTGGATTTGTCATGAGGACATTTGTTCATTAATAAGGTACCACTTTCTGTTTAAGAGTGAGACCACACTGCTGTTTATTTTTAATCACGTCATAACTTTAAAGAAACATTAAGTTTTATTATTATCATTAGTAGTAGTATTAATAATAATAGTGGTTGTAATAGTCTCACATTTGTGTGTAAATGTATTTGTTTGCCGTTAAAGTTGAGCTTTAACGGTTGGCCGCGGGGGAACAGCACCTCGTTAGCCTAATTGGCAGTGTTAGCCTAGTTAGCCTAATTAGCCGAGTGCAGTGGGAGCGTTGCGCCTCGGGCCATGAGCATGGATCTGAGAGTCCTTAATTAGTCCGTGCCGGTCGAGCCTCGCCGCCGTTTGATGTGGGAGCGTTTAGGTTTTACAGGAGGAGGCGTGGAGCCGCTCTGCCGCTCGCCGGCAACAACAAGCTTTATGAACGCAGACATGAGGAGAAAAAAGAGGCCAAAGACAGACGAGAGGAGTGAAATTTCACAACCTGTGAGCAGCTCAAGTGTTGACTGTGGCGAGCGGCGTGCTGAAGCTTGTTGTTTGCAGCTGTCAGACTCTTTACTGCCAGTTTAAAGCTGCAACTTGTACACTTCAAAGCAACGAGAAGAAGATCTGATAGACAGTTTCTTCACTTCATGTGCGTCTTGTCTCTGGGTGATACTGTCTCAACAGGTACTTTAGTTTCTGCACACTGACATTCGTAGAGGACATTTGGATGTTTCCATTTTTGGCAAATGGGATCCGTCTCTCTGTTTCTTTTTTAATTGTCATTTATCATAAACACTGATTTATCTGCTATTAGCTGCTATCGGCCAATAATATCGCTACGCCGATTTATGGGTCTGCTGGAGTTAAATGTTGTGGTTGCAGTACCACAGTTGACCACTGGGAGCATCCTGCAGCAGGACTACCTTTGATTGGCTCTTTCAGCTCTAACACTTGAGATTAGAGTTGTTCAGTTGATTGACAGGCAGCGCTTCGAGTACCAGGAATAAAGCTTCAGCTTCTCTCTCTTTCCTCACAGATTAGTTTCTCTGCGTTTTCCGTCGCGGGACACCTGATGAGCGTCTGTCATCGGTTTCCTCTTTCTGCAGTTGCAGCCCTGCTCTTTTGTCCTGTTGAGTAACACTGCTGTGAATCTGCATCAGCTGCTGTTTGGCAGCGCCGCACCTTCGCTCCGTCCTGTCGCATGTGAAGCCACGTGTTGGACCAACTGCATCCACAGGGTCCAGGTCCAGTGGTCGGGTTTTTTCCTTCAGCCGCCCGCCCCCTCCCCTTCTTCTTCATCTGTCTCCAACACGCTCCAACTCGGAGAAAACATGTCAGTGGTTTTGGCTGTGTGGCTGTTCCCAGCATGCACGTGTGAAGCGGGCGGATGTGTTGTGTTGCGGGCGGGGTTTGTGTGTGTGTGATGTTGTGGTGTTTCATTCTTCCCATCATGCCCTAGTCCAGAAACGGCGGGGCCATGGAGGATGCTCTGGTTTCACAAGCTTTTCCGTGAGCACGTGCAACAAACCTCAGTGACCCACACACACTGCTGCTTTGTGTGTGCATGCGTTAATTGACATGTACAGTAATATGCTGGGTTTTTTGTGTAAAACTGTTAACATCTGCATTCCTTTCATTCCTGTCAGTCCAAACCTTAATTCTCCTCCTTATCGCTCACAGCTGCTGTTTGTCTTCAGCTGTCCAGTTTGAAGAAAAACTTTTACAATCAGATAAAAATTAAAGAATGTGGTTGTAATTATACACTTAGACATTCAATACATTAAAGGGCTGCAAAAACTCTATTATGATGTACGCGGTCTGGATAAGTGGACAAGAGACACACGACGACCACAAAGAGACGCATAACGACCACAAAGAGACACACAACGACCACAAAGAGACACACAACGACCACAAAGAGACGCACAACGACCACAAAGAGACTTATAACGACCACAAAGAGACACACAACGACCACAAAGAGACACACAACGACCACAAAGAGACACACAACGACCACAAAGAGACTTATAACGACCACAAAGAGACACACAACGACCACAAAGAGACACACAACGACCACAAAGAGACACACAACGACCACAAAGAGACTTATAACGACCACAAAGAGACACACAACGACCACAAAGAGACACACAACGACCACAAAGAGACTTATAACGACCACAAAGAGACACACAACGACCACAAAGAGACTTATAACGACCACAAAGAGACGCACAACGACCACAAAGAGACACACAACGACCACAAAGAGACACACAACGACCACAAAGAGACACATAACGACCACAAAGAGACGCACAACGACCACAAAGAGACGCACAACGACCACAAAGAGACGCACAACGACCACAAAGAGACGCACAACGACCACAAAGAGACACACAACGACCACAAAGAGACTTATAACGACCACAAAGAGACACACAACGACCACAAAGAGACTTATAACGACCACAAAGAGACGCACAACGACCACAAAGAGACGCACAACGACCACAAAGAGACTTATAACGACCACAAAGAGACACACAACGACCACAAAGAGACACACAACGACCACAAAGAGACGCACAACGACCACAAAGAGACACACAACGACCACAAAGAGACGCACAACGACCACAAAGAGACGCACAACGACCACAAAGAGACTTATAACGACCACAAAGAGACGCACAATGACCTCAAAGACACACACAACGACCACAAAAAGACACACAACGACCACAAAGAGACGCACAACGACCACAAAGAGACACACGACCACAAAGAGACGCACAACGACCACAAAGAGACGCACAATGACCACAAAGAGACACACAATGACCACAAAGAGACGCACAACGACCACAAAGAGACGCACAATGACCTCAAAGACACACACAACGACCACAAAAAGACACACAACGACCTCAAAGACACACACAACGACCACAAAAAGACACACAACGACCACAAAGAGACGCACAACGACCACAAAGAGACACACAACGACCACAAAGAGATGCACAACGACCACAAAGAGACGCACAACGACCACAAAGAGACACACAACGACCACAAAGAGACACACAACGACCACAAAGAGACGCACAACGACCACAAAGAGACGCATAACGACCACAAAGAGACGCACAACGACCACAAAGAGACGCACAACGACCACAAAGAGACGCACAACGACCACAAAGAGACTTATAACGACCACAAAGAGACGCACAACGACCACAAAGAGACGCACAACGACCACAAAGAGACTTATAACGACCACAAAGAGACGCACAATGACCTCAAAGACACACACAACGACCACAAAGAGACACACAACGACCACAAAGAGACACACAACGACCACAAAGAGACGCACAACGACCACAAAGAGACACACAACGACCACAAAGAGACGCACAACGACCACAAAGAGACGCACAACGACCACAAAGAGACGCACAACGACCACAAAGAGACGCATAACGACCACAAAGAGACGCACAACGACCACAAAGAGACACACAACGACCACAAAGAGACGCACAACGACCACAAAGAGACGCACAACGACCACAAAGAGACGCATAACTACGACAAAGAGACTTATAACGACCACAAAGAGACCCACAAAGAGACGCACAACGACCACAAAGAGACGCACAACGACCACAAAGAGACGCACAACGACCACAAAGAGACGCACAACGACCACAAAGAGATGCACAACGACCACAAAGACCACAAAGAGACGCACAACGACCACAAAGAGACGCACAACGACCACAAAGAGATGCACAACGACCACAAAGACCACAAAGAGACGCACAACGACCACAAAGAGACGCACAACGACCACAAAGAGACGCACAACGACCACAAAGAGACACACAACGACCACAAAGAGACACACAACGACCACAAAGAGACGCACAACGACCGCACAACGACCACAAAGAGACGCACAACGACCACAAAGAGACGCACAACGACCACAAAGCGACACACAACGACCACAAAGAGACACACAATGACCACAAAGAGACTTATAACGACCACAACGACACACAACGACCACAAAGAGACGCACAACGACCACAAAGAGACACACAACGACCACAAAGAGACACACAATGACCACAAAGAGACACACAACGACCACAAAGAGACACACAACGACCACAAAGAGACTTATAACGACCACAACGACACACACAACGACCACAAAGAGACACACAACGACCACAAAGAGACGCACAACGACCACAAAGAGACGCACAACGACCACAAAGAGACACACAACGACCACAAAGAGACGCACAACGACCACAAAGAGACTTATAACGACCACAACGACACACACAACGACCACAAAGACACACAGAACAACAATGTTGTGTGTGAATGTAGTTGTGCTGTTGTCCTAAATACTACAGCGTCTAGGGCAGTCTAATTTGTGTCAGTTAGCAGGAGCCGTGTTCACAGGGACATGATGTGCTCACTGTTCCCCCAGAGATGTGTAGTATCCTGGTGTAAACCCTGAGAACAGGCTGTTGGAGGAACGACAGAGATCATCTCGTTATTTACAGAAGAATCTAACTGTGTTTTGATGATGTTCATGTTTGTGTTTACTGGTACAGTTTCTCTCGTGTTTCCCTCCACAGCACCGCTGGCAAACATCTGTATGACTCAATTATAAAGTGTCAAACAGCCAAACCCGACTGGAAAACAACACATTAAGAAAAGGGAGGAGAGCAGAGAGAGGAGGAGGAGGAGGAGGAGGAGGTGTACATGATGAAGAAAACAGAGAGAAAGCAGAGAAAAAACTCGTGTTTGAAGCCCAGAGAGAAAAAAGGTGGTAAGAAAGTGCAGCAGAGGGAGGAGGGAGTGTACAGTATGTGAGGTAGGTGTAGGTTGATGATGTCGTCCAGGCCACGCCACCTGCAGAGGCTATAGATGCCGGTGTTTGGGGTCCACCTCTTCACATCGAGGACGTCCGACAGCTGAACAAGTCCTAAGACTGCAGGAAGAGAGACGCTTAGTGAAGTTGTCCAGCTCCTGGTCACTCCTCATCCTCCTAAACCTTCATCATCATCCTCTTCACCCTCGTCTTCTGGAAGCCGAAGCTTTGAGAGGTCATGCCGGGCATCGCTCTCCTCCTCCGGGTCCTCGTCCTGCTGCTGGGAGGGACGATTCTCCTCAACGGCATCCCTGCACCGAGGAGCAGAGGCAAGTGCACGGAAATAAACTCTGATTTACTCGCTGAAAGTAAAGAAATAATGTGGAATAAATAAAAACAACAGGTGACATGAATGAGTCATCTAACAGGGTAATATGGGGAACACACATCGGTTCAAAACCGAGAAAGAAACACATTTAATAGATGCAACTGTAACTGGTAAAAAGGTCAATTAAAACAGTCGAGAAGTTTGAATAAATGTGGAATAAACGGAATAAGCTTGGTGACAATTTGGGGAAAGTAAAGTAAGAAAAACATGGTAGCAGGATTTAAATAAAGGTTGTGTTTAGAAATAAACAGGATGGAAGGAAATAAATGGGGGAAAAACACAACGTGGTTTTAATGAAAGAATGAGCAGCATGCAAGACAAATGAGATGTCATGCACTTCACTAAATGCTTCTTTAGTTTGTCCTGTTTGACTTATAGTGTCTGAGCGAGTGTGTGTAATGAGCCCAGATGTTTCTGCGTGGAGCAGCAGGTTGTTCTAATGTGAGGGGAACTTAAACGTGTCTGCAGAGGTGCTGAAACACTTTTACGTCTTGATATCTGCAGGTGATTTTGTCTAAAACCTAAACGCTGACATGATTTTTGGCGAGCCTAATCTTCCGTGCAGCGTGTAATGAACTGCTCTCTGTGCAGGTGTTTGATTTGGTGCAGTTTCTCTGCTGAGTCGGCTGTAATGTTTGTCGTGCTGCAGCTGCAGAACCTTTTTTTTTTCATGCATTTGAAACATGTGTGGTGAAACTTGCACGTTGAAGGAGATTTGGTTTTGGGTCTGATGTGTGATGTTGGTGTGTTGAGTTGTGCACAGCAGGTGTGCTGCTCGCCGGAGGTGGGGGGGGGGGCTAACTCGTGATTTTTCCGCCTCATTGAGGTTTTAAAGTTACGTAAGATGATAAAATCCCCTCCTTCAGAGGCAGAAAGTGTCGGAGTGACATGGAGGTCTGATGTGACGGCTCGGAGAGGATTACCTCACCGGGTGAGAGACAGCCAAGCACAACAGAGAGAGAGAGAGAGAGAGAGAGAGTCTACCAGTTCAGACGAGCTCCTGTATGTTTTGTTTTTGCCTTATGCAGATTTTTTTTGTGATTTCTATTGTTTTGGGGGGTTTTCTTTTATATGGAAGTTTATGAGCGACAAAACTGCTGAGTGAGCAAAAATTTTATTAATGTTGTAAAAGAATGTTACAAGTTTGTGCAAAAATTACAGTTTAGATGGTTATTTTGGCTCCTTTTTTCTTCAACTGTTTTTAAAATACATTTTAAAATACATTAACAACAACAGGTTTCAGCAGGACACACCCACATCCAGATGTTAGACGCTTTACTTTTATAACTGTTGAGGCACTTAATTAAAAACATGACTTTACTGAGAGGGCAGGGTTTGATGCACACTATGCGGCAGCTGACAGATCTGCTTAAAGGGTTTGGCTACGAAAGATCAAAACTGCCGAAAGTGGAAGCACAAAATCCAGGTTTCATCACTTTTTAATTCGTTAATGAATGTGTCTCAGCAAACGCTCAAATCTGGACTCTTAAAGCTGCGT